ACTTTTAAGATTTATAATATAATTAATAGATTTAATATAGTAATAGTTATTTCTATTATACTTTATAAAGTTATTAACTATTTAAAAATAGACTATATACCTTTTATTATTTATATAAATTTATTCTTATTATATAAATACTTTATTAAGTTAGAAACTATAAAAAATATTTAATAATTAATATAATAATACTTTATTAATTTTATAAATAAAGAAAAATTAATAAAATTTATTAAATTTATAAAAATAATAACTCTATTAATATAATAATAAAGTTAATATTAAATAAAACCTTAAAAAGTTTATTTCTACTAATAAACTTTACCTTAAAGTATAAAGATATATTAATTAAAAGTATTAAAGTTTAATTTTTAAGGTTATTTATAAAGGTACCTTTAAAGTAGTTAGTTAATTTAGTAAAATTAAAGTATTAGGATTTATAAAAAGTAAAATAAAGGAGTTTATAAGTTAAAAGTAGAATAATAATTAAAAAAATTATAAAGTTATAAATTATAATAAAAAATTAATAAAAGTTCAAATTTATATTATACTAATTACTTATATCTTACCTTATAAAATAATATTATTAGTTAGTAATTAACTTTATATTTCTTTTAAAGGTAAACTTTATAATTAAAGTTTAAATTAATAGTTTATATTAATAGAGTTAGAAAATATATATATTATTTACTATTATATAAGTATTTAAGTTATTAACTTATATATAATAAGTATTCTTAATTAAATTTTATAGTTATAATATTTATATTATTAATTTATTTAAAGAGTGTTATACTATAATATAATTAATAATTAATAATAATAATATAATAATAATATAATAATAATATAATAATTTAATAATAAGCTTTTATTTTAAGGGAATTATAAATAGTTAAACTTTTATTTTTATTAAATAATTTATAATATTAGGGTTAAAGTTATAAAAGTCTATAAAGATTTATAAAGGTTTAAGTTTATATTTATTTATATTATTCTATAAATAATAGAAGTATAAATTTATATATATATTTAAAAGTAGTTACTTATATATTTAAATTTAAGATTTAAAGTAAGTAATATTTTAGGATTAAGAAATTTATATAGGAAAATAGTATATTATTCCTAATTTTTAAAGTAGTAATTAGGATTAAAATATATAGATTAAGCCTTTTAATAATAGTAATAGTATTTTATATATACTTTATTTAATAGTAGTATAGTAAAGTAGGAAGTTATAAGACTTTAAATTAAGATATAGAAGGGTTTAAAGTTTAACTTAACTTTAAAGGAATTTTTCTTTTTTATATTTTTTTTTATAAATTTTAAATAAATTAATATTATAATTTTAAAGACTATTAATATAGGTTAAGCTAATTTAATAAATTAATAATAGTAAGTAAGCTATACCTACTTATATAAATAAGTATACTAAATAGGTCACCTTATTAAATATAGCTTTACTACACCTCTTAAAGAGGTGATATATATATAATTAAAATAAATATAACTATATTATAAATAACCTTTATTCCTCTCATATATATATATAGAAAGCCGACTAATATAATCCCTATACTTAAATATTATAAAAGAAGAATAATTTATATAATAAAGTCCTTATATTAAGTTTTAAGTAAAAGGAATAATTTATTTTATAGTTAAGAATATAATAGTCTTTATTATTATTTAAATAGTAGTAATTATACTTAATATAAATAGTTTTAAAAGGTTATCTTTAAAGTATTTATAGATTTAAAGATCTTCTTTAAAAATTTTATATAATTAAAAGCTATACTTAATAAAGTTTTTAATAATATTATAAGTATTATTTAAATAAATAGATTTCTAGCTATAAATAATAAGAGTTATTAAGTAAGCTTTATATATTACTATAATAAGAGAGAGAAGAAGAAAGAGATTAAATTAATTAAAATATTTCTTTTAATTTAATAAATAGGTTAATAAGTAATTATAAATAAATTAATAATTAGTTATAATATTTAAATAGTTATAAAAGTATAGTTTTAATAATAAATATAATTATAAATAAATTAATTAATTATAATACCTATAGATTAATAAATTTTAATTAAAAATTATTAAAATAAATATTATTAAAATACTTATAATAAGAATATTTTAATTAATAGATTTTTAAGTTATAGCTACTATTTATAGTAGATAAGTAGAAGTAAAGTTAAAATTAAAGTATAGTTAGGTTATTATTTAGTTAAATTATAGGTAGGTTAAAGTGAAAGCTTTAACTTTAATTTAAAACCTATTAACTAATCTAATAATTAAGTTAGAAATCTAGTTACACCCCTTTATACCTACTATAAAAAGAAATAAAATAAGTAAAAAAATAGAATAAATAAATAAATAGTCTTTTTTTTTTATTTAATAACTTAATTAACTTTTCTTTTTTTTTTTTTACTCTCTCTCTCCCTTTATTACTATTCTCCCTCTATCCCTCTTATTTACACTTAAACTCACTATATTATACACACTAAGCTACTTAGTATAATATAATGGACTTAAAAATACCCTTAGTATAATGGAGTGTAGTGGGCTTATTTACACCCACTATACTATACTATTACATTAAGTATAGTGAACGGCAACCCTGATCAGGGCCACTAGCATACACTCTCGTCAACCACACCTATAACCACAACCAGAATTGGGACTCGTATCGGCCATGAGACACGGAGACCTCGGGGTGGGCAAAGCCCTACCAACCTGGACCAACATATGTAACCCCATGCCGCGTGGGAACGGGCAACGCGCACGGCGGCAACGGAGGATTCATCAACCAGGGCGGATAGGAAGACAACATTGAAGCAAGCTGCAGGGTGCTTCAATAGCAGCCTTTACCCCAAAGGTTTGACTGTGACACTGTCATGTTGAATGTATGTATGTATGCATGCATGTATGTATTAACCAGCGATTGTCTAGTTCCGGCCACGGGTGTGGAGAGGATAAAACCATGGTGCCTTTGCTAGGCGGGTGGCTCTAGGTTAAGAATGTGTGAAACGGATGGGTGGTCCAGCTGCCAAATGAAGAGGCTCTTGACTCTATTTGTCTCCACACCATTTAATATATGTTGGAAATGAATGTGATGCTGGTGATGCAAGCCTCGCACTGCAGACCAATTTGGAGCTGTGTTACGTGTCACCCCAGTGCCCCCAATCTGGAAAGGGGCAACCCCTTCAGGCCAGCCATGCCATTCATACACATATCTGCCACCAGCACAATTTTCTGCAGATGATTGATCAGCTTGAACCATGATAAGAGATCAATTCAGATTGGTGAGGAGAAAAAGTTGTGTGGTATTCACTCTGTCATGGGTGGGGCGGGCAAACCTCCACCAGCAGCATCATGTTGTGTTCACATCTGTTGAACCAAAAGGTTAGAACAAGGAGCAAAGCATGAGGCCAGATCAATCAAGACTGATTCAAATTAGCACAAGGCCTGTCTCAAACTATACCAATTGAATGCAAGGTGAACAAAAGTGTAAAAGGGTGGTGGTGTAAGTGGACAATATATATTGTCCACCACCACCGCAAAAGTTGATGATCTGGCCCGGGCTTGAACCGGGGACCTTCAGTGCTTCCATAAATCGTCTCAAGAGGCCGAATTAATGTTAGACTGACGTGATAAACCAACTACACCACCGGACCATGTTGTTGGAAGATGGGATGGGGATGTGGGCTATGTTGAAATGTTGAGTGAAAAGTTTTTCATGCAGGTGGGCGGACCTGGCCACTAGTGCTAGCCAGGGTGGGCCTGGTCTGTGCCCCACTTCCCCACCCGCTTTGGACGCCAGGCGAGAGCTTGATCTGGAATCTGGACGGCATAACTCCGGCTGGTTGCACATGTGGTTTGCTGCTCTCATTCTTCGCCGAGATGCTTTCCACCTTGGGACAGCTCTGCGGGAATGTTTTTCTCTCCATAATCTCCTGATTCAACCTGAGAGGCAAACGCTCGCAAGATGGGTCTGGCTGTTCAACTATCCTGCTGTCCCATGCCGCACATAGTCTCTGTGGCCACGGGATCTTCCCAGCATCTTGCCGGTATGCGCCAAGGCGGTACCCCCGTATATTCCGCACACAGCAGTATGCCCCTAATGGCAGATCACAAGGCATCTGATCATTGATCCTCATGCCAAAACAGCACAGTCTTGCCCGCCGTCTATTTGGGGAAGCCTGATCCTGAGACGACCCAAAGGTGGCGTTCGGTTGACTGATTGGGCTGGCCTTCGTCCTCCCTATTACTAGATCATCCGATATGCTTATCCCACGCCCTAGCTTTGGATTAATGAGAGTTATTTTCAACCCAGACACTGGGGTCTAGTCTTTCAACTTCCGTCAGGCAAACCACACAATCTCTACCGGTCGATGCCCCTTGAACCTTGTGCTTCGGGATGGACAGAATTGGCAGTCTAAGCCTTCTAGCATGCCGCGCGGGATACCTCTTGGTCGGATAATATACAGGTCCAGCCACTGATTGGATAACTCTCTCCCAGAACGCGCCCTCGTCTGATATTTTGTTCCTGCGGGGAAACACATAAGCCGGATCTTCTATTCTCTATCACGTCGAGACATATACGGTTGACGCATCTCACTGACGACTACTTCCATTTGTGTGAAACCGTACCAGATGTTTCCATTAGTACTATTGTGAGCGCTATAGATGGCCCGCATTGCTATACTGAGGCGGCTCCCAAGGTCATGGAGGAGTTGATGCTACAATCCCTTGTTGTGCACAACGCTCACGATGGCCTGGATTTTATATAAGAGTGCAGGAGAGCCCATCTACAACAAATGACTTCATCAACGCATCGCCATCAGCCAAACACACGCATCTCTCCAGCCCAGCAATAAATATCACACCCATTAAATTGGACCATATCACAGCATCTACCTACTTCAAGGACAGTATCCCTTTTGAATTCCAGCCACAACATCCTCCAAAGGCCAACACAGAGTTCAGAAACCATGCAGTACTCAAAGAGAGCAGTTCTCGCCCTTGCGGTGCTCAGCCCGGCATTCACTTCATCACTGGCTCTCCCACGAGTCCCCCCCAGGGACAGCAACTCAGTTGCCGTCCAAGATGCTCACCTAGCCCCACGACACCTTTCCGGAGCCATGCCTGTCAGGCTTAGAAGCCGCCACTGGGGTGGAGGAGCGACTGGCGGGGGCGAGGGGGCCGGCGGCTTGGGTGGGCCGGGAGGTTAGTAATCTATCTCAAGTGGTGATATATGGCACCTGGGAGCATGGCAATACTGACTGGAATTTTGAAACGCAGGTGGCTCATTCACCGGGGGATTCGGCGGCGGAGAGACCGGCACTGGAGAGACTGGCGGTGGCGAGGAAGAGTCCGGTGCTGGTGAGACCGGCGGTGGCGAGGAAGAGTCTGGTGCTGGTGAGACCGGCGGTGGCGAGGAAGAATCTGGTGCTGGTGAGACTGGGGGTGGAGAGGAAGAATCCGGTGCTGGTGAGACTGGGGGTGGAGAGGAAGAATCCGGTGCTGGTGAGACTGGAACAGGAGAAAACGGAACAGGGGAGACTGGCTGTGGAGGGGCTGGCACAGGCGAGGAAGAATCTGGTACCGGAGAGTCAGGTACTGGTGAGACCAGTCCTGGGGCTGGCGAGGAAGAATCTGGGGCCGGAGAGTCAGGCGCTGATGAAGAAGAATCCGGGGCCGGTGAGCCCGGGGCCGGTGAGTCGGGTGCTGGTGAGTCTGGGGCCGGAGAGTCAGGTGCTGGTGAGGAAGAGTCTGGGGCTGGTGAGACCGGCTCCGGAGAGACAGGAACTGGAGAAGAACCTGGGAGCGGGGAGACGGGTAGCGGGGAGGACTCTGGTGCTGGAGAGTCTGGTGCTGGAGAGTCTGGTGCTGGAGAGTCTGGTGGATGCAAAGGCGAGACAGGCACAGACACAGGCTCGCAAGCGGGCTCCGGCACAAGGGGCCCTGGAGGCGATGTTTCATCTGGCCTGCCTGGTGCTGGAGGTCCGGGTGGTAACAACACTTCTGGTGGTACTGGCGGTGACGATGAGTCTACTTAGTCTGGCATTCTGGGCTCCGTTGCGACTTTCTGTTCTTCATTGTATTTTACATGTGTCTATTACACAGCTTGGTCTGTTGCAATTTAGGTATGCATTGGCCAAATTCACATGCCAGCCAAGAAAGATTTCGAAACAATGTCTTGAAAAGCTGGTGCTGCAACTTGGAAGCCGTTACAATTTTCTATTTAACAGAGACGGCACGAGATTTTCTTACCACTTCGGCACAACCGCAAGACCAAAAATAAGAGACTGGGTTGGATACCTAGATACCCTCACGAGAATCCAAAAACAGTCGGTTCAACCCATGAGCGGGCTTCTGGCTTCATCTCCGGAAGCATCACGTAGCAAGCATCGACGTACTAATCGTACCACGAATGGCTTCTCAACCTTCCATGTGCTCATTACGTTCAAATGTTCAATACGGTCCATGCCTCGGTTGCTAGTGGGGCATCGTGAGGATAGGACGAGGCTTATCTATAGACCTGCAGAAGGATTTCTATATTTTGGACCCACATGACCCCCAGGGGCCTCGAGGTGGAAGAAATTTCCGAGGATTCCGTGGAAAGAGATGGACCTGCCGGATTCAATGGTGGGCCAGCCTCGGAGCAGAAGGAATATTGCATAGTGAACAATGGGACAGGTGGGACTTGCTTACCCCGTGCTTCATCACAAAATTGAATAGAATCGCTAACTCGCCATTGGAAGTGGATTTCTCTCGGATTTTCCCGCATCTGTTGTCTGACTTTGTGGACTCGCTCAACATTATGCTGTAACTAGGTAAAATCTCACCCCGTCAGAAAAATGGAGAAAATCTTGATGAATAATTGGATCAATTGATTGCTACTAGAATGTCTATTTAGACTGCGTCTGGCACGGAGTATACATCTTGGGCATCTGGTGCACGTGTAAACAACCATTTTGGAATGTCAGTCACAGCACCTCAGCCGAGACAGCCACCATACACCTGACTCATCCTCCAGCCCTGTTCGCAATGCCAGTGTTGTCGAATTAAAGTAGGCAGTTCACACGTGGACGCCACGAGAGCGCTTGCCATGCACTTGAGCAATTCATGACTACCGCCATCGCCTCTCGTTGTGACCACCTATCGGCCACGGCACCTTATTGGGCATTGAGTCAGTTCCGGGTCACACTTAAACCTTAAACATGGTTCGAATCATTGCTGCAATAGAGATTAATCTGTTACACGTGGCCGTTGGCTGTGTTTGGCTCCCAATGTCTGGGACGGGACACTGAGAGACACGCAGCACATACCATCAGTGTTCTATCTTACACGAGTCGGTGCGCGCCAAGGCGTAGCCGAGTGTCGTACATGGACTCTGAAAATCCCCGGGGGCGTGCGTGCCCCTCGCGAATTGTGGCCCCCAAGGGCTCCGGGGAAAGCCCATTACGGAGGTACATATATATCGGTACTGAAGAATCAATTGATCTTACGCTTGTAGACCGGGAGCGCCAAATCCATGGATATCAAGACCCCGTTCACTTACTAGTATCATGGCACTGATGCAGGTCGGCGGCGAGTCCCGAGCGCTCGGCACCGGAGAGTTCCAGGCAACACAGACCCCCTTCAGCCCCTGTGGTGCGACATTCCGAGATGAACAACAGACGCAGGTGCAAACACAGGTCAAGCATTGGACAATGCATACCGAGGTCCGCCGGGTAGAGCCGAGCCTGGGCGAATGAGTCTATGGTAGTAGGGAGTATTCTGTAGCAACTGTCCTGTCGTCGCTCCTGATAATGTCCGTCCTTTGGCCCTGCTGGTCGAAGTGCAGTCTTCTTCCCCTCTTGATCCCGCTGTCCAGGCCACGAAAGACTGGCCTGGTCCTGGTCCTGGTCCTGGTCATATGTCGACTCACCGCGTCGACGTGTCTTGGTGGCGGGCGCGGCTGTGGCGCCACTTGCCAGCATAGCATAACCACGGCTGCGCCCAGCATCTAAAATAGATCCCGGCGACGCGGTATTTTGTCTGTCTGGCAGTGTGGCAGTCAGGCAGTGTACGTCAAAACAGGACAGTGGCGACGCACGGGGGAGGGAGGCCCCTGCTATCAACTCCACCAGGAAAATGCTCCGAGCCCCTCTCTCGTCAAGCTTCCCGGACCCTTGCATAAAATGGGCCAGGCTGCCCCGGCTGCTTGCCAACTTGCCCCGCCGGTCAGCCCGGTGCGCGTCCATTGACTGCTTCGCAGTGGCGCAGGAGTGGGTGTCAAAGTCTTGTTCCCGGGCGGCCGGGGCTGCATCCCTTTCCCATTCGCCGCGCAGGCCAGGACAGGCCCGTCAATCCTCAATGTTTCTGAGCCACTCACAGCGCGAGGCCGCCGCCGCAGCTCGCAATAGGCTGACCACGCATCCGGTTAGGGACCAATCGAGCCTCTGGCTCTGCACGTCGTTGTGATTGCTTCACCCCGTCCAGCGGGTAACCAGGGCCCGCCGTCGTAGTGCCTCCCAACTGCATCCTGATGCCTCTCCCATTTGTCTGCTCCATGCCCGAGATATGTGGGGATTACCAAATCCGGCCATGTCCATGATGTGGATTGGAGCACCGGCATCCGTCCTCAACCACGAGCTGGACCCAGCCGAGCCTGGTCCCTGAGCTCCGCTCCTGAAATGTGGGCTCGGCCGGGGCGCCGCGGTGCAACTTACTGCATATTCGCTTGCCGCCCGCTGCTTCTTCTATGGCCTCGGCCCGTCTTGACGTTTCCTTCGTGTTCATCTCTCTCCTCTGCTTTTGTTTCTTTCCTGCCGTACTAGTAGCCTCTGTGCGCTCATCAAGACTTGCCAGTGCTGTCCAGGTCACCAAGAAATCATGCGCCAATGAGATCCAAACCACGCCCGACGTGAGGAACTTGACCCTGTGTATTGCAAATACGCAGCGGCAGGAGGAGCATCCTAGCCAGAGCACAGGAGGCCGGGCCAGACGCCAATATGTGGGACTATGGTGACGACAACCGGGGGCCTGAAATGGCCGTCGTGGCCCTCGTCATGACATCTCTGAGTGTCATCGCCGTTGCCCTGCGATGCTATACAATGATCACAATACTCAAACGGTTCTTGGTCGAGGACTGGCTGGCCCTTCTCACATGCGTGGGTGCTCACTCAACCATCTCCACTGCCCACGAGATAAAACGGACCTAGGTACTGACACTGCACCCCGAAAACAGCTCCTTCAGTGCGCCTTCTGCACTTTTGTGCTCCTTGGAGTCTCTCATGGTCTCGGCGCTCACGTTGAACATGTCCCGGAGGACCAACGACCAAAGGCCCTCGTCTTCAAGTGGGCTGGTCAAATCGCTTATATCGTCGTGTCAACTTTGGTCAAATTCGTCGTCGGCATTTTCTTGCTCCGCCTGTGCGTCAACAACGGATGGCAGCGCATCACCATTTGGGTATTGCTCGTGCTCGTCGGGCTTTTCAATATCTTTTACGTCTTTGTTGCAGTGTTCCAGTGTCAGCCAGTGTCGTTCTACTGGTGGCGATACGCCGAAAACGCGCCCATCACTGGCAAATGCAACGGTCGCGCCATTGCTACGGTCCCAACTTACATTGCGGTACTCTTGGGTATAGCAGGCGATTTGATCCTCGCATTACTGCCCATTACTCTCATCAAGCACGCGAAGCTGGACAAGAAGACTAAGATCTCTGTGATCTGCGTCCTCTCGCTCGGTTCACTGTACGTGACGCCCTCTTCTCCCTTGAACTAGACGTCTTTGTACTCGGTCGTGATCCTACTCACTCGTCGGATCGATATCGCCATCTGCCATCACCGCTTCTTGACTAACAGTGACATAATTACAGAGCCTCAGTGGCTACTATCGCACGCATTCCATACGCCCAGCAAGTTCTTTCTAACCCTGACTATCTGTACAATTTCAGCGACTTGGCCATCTGGAGTATCGTCGAATGCGGCATCGCTATTACAGCCTCATCACTCGCCACACTGCGCCCGCTCTTCGTCAAGATGAAGCTTCTCGCGACAAATCATTTTACCAGCCGTTTCACCTCCTCCAATGGTGGCCTTCCGATGTTCACAAACAAGACTCATACTTTCGTATCGGCATCCAAGTCGCAGAAACAGGGCATAAATCGGAATTCTGCGACTACGAGGAACGGCACAGGCATACTGAGGAGTGTGTCCGAGTCGAAGGACGGCATCCAAGTCAAAAGAGAGTTTGAGATGTCCGTGATCACGCACTCATCCAAAGACAGCATCGATCAGCTTGAGAATGAGGTTGACGAGGTGATAAGCCCGGGAACCGCCAAGAGCGGCAGCATCCACAGTAGAGGGCACAGCTATCAACAAAGCCTGCGCCTGAATCCAAGCCCACGGTTGAGCCCCGCCCCTTCAAGTTCTCGACCAACACTCCAAGATGCACCTATTTTGATGCCACCAGCAGCGATCACAAGTCCAATAGGGCCACCAACATCACACGCCACGAATGGATATTCCACCTATACCGGTTGGCAAGCAAGCGCATCCCCACAGAGCTCCCGCTCTGCCTCGGCTGCCAGGAAAGGCAGTTTTGGCCAGGTCTCAACCCCCTTCGGAGGTATTTCTGTGGATCAGCCAAGTTTGGAGCTCCGCTCACCCCCGCCTATTTCCAATGAGGGGCCTCGTTACAGTCACCACTCCACCAAATCCCAAGACAGTTCCCGATCTACCAGAACCCCGAGGTCAACCGCCACGAGCTTCCACCTCCCCACAAGGATGCAACACTACAGCGTGGCGTCGTCTGCCTCATGCCACAGCAGTTCGAGCACGTCTTCCAAGGCCAACTCACGTGGGACATTTGGCGCGGACGGCCTGTCGCTACCATCGCGCATTACCGAGTCGGGTTATGGCAATCACACCCCGGATATCAACAACCATCCATCAAGCGTCCTTCATCAATCACCTATCATACAAGTACCAAACTCTAGTCAGGACACAAGGTTTCCCTTTGAGAAACCTAATACCGTTGCTGGGTCAAAGAAGACGAAGAAGCGAAGGACACGAGTAAGCGCCTTCCTGGCAGACAACTCATCGGCGTCCAGTGCGGAGAACGGGGACTGCAGTGATGAAGAGCTCACTGGAACCAGGCCACAATGGGCGGGGCAAGGCCGCGAGGCACTGCCGAGCCCATTGACGAGCCACCCACCTCTGTCCCCGAGGGAGAACTGGGTATAGACTCTTAGGTTTCAGGGGGCAGTAAGCCGAAGATACCTACGATTGTCCATCCCAACCAAAACCCCTCACATAAGATTTATGATGGCGCAAGCCCTCTCTATATTGATTTCCGACTCTATTCCTACAACATCACCATACATGTTAATACACATTTGTACATCCAGACACCAAGCGTTGGTGTGATGGTAAAGCAAGCCTCCACGGCGCAGGTCGGCAGCACATTGTGCCTTTAAAAGTGTGGCTCCAAAATGCGGGCATGGGCCTCCATTCTTTTTTTTTTAGCAAGCATATTATACCCCATAGAGAGATTAAAAGAAGCCTTTGAAACGTCCGAAGAGGTTCCAGGTTCATGCCGACTCGGGATCGAGCAGAACGAAAGGAGCCCAAGTGACACAAGATTCTTTGTGCTATTTGTGTCTTACCGGTGCATGAGCCAGACATGGCTATCTACATATCTAGGTACTAGTAGTTGTGATGTGAGATGCTCTATAATCTCTGTAAGAGTAGAATAATCTAGATTTAGTTGGAAATGGATATGTACATGGCTCTCTTGAAATTTCACAGACTGACTATATAGGTCATTGAGGAGTTTCTTGAGATGTAGATAGGAATTATTTTCTCCAAAGTCTTCACTTCAAAGATCTAGTTGTGCGACGGCACGGGTCTGATATACTTACTACTGACGGGTTGAAATCACTTGCTGCAGACTGATCCTCTAAGCTTGCCGCCATGATTCGCTTGCAGTAGTCAAGCAAGGAGCTGTGGTACTTTTGCTCAAGCAAAACCTAGCGTGAAACAGTGATTGAATTCAGATGGTTGCCTGTGTCTGCGAGAACTCTCCAATATTCGTTAGAGGGCGCTCGGGGCAGTACAAAGGCGACTAGGGGGTACGTCACAATGTATGCCCACGTGGGAGATGGCCGAGTTGTCTTTGAGAGGCGCTAGCGGGATGTGGGGAGGGGTACCAAGTACCACGGACGATTCGTGTTAGGGAACGAGTATGAAACCGTGGCAGATGCCTAACGATTCCTAACAGCTGGTTTTTGCTTCCCGACCTCGGCGATCCTACCTCCCAATCTTATCAGATCATCGAGATAGCGATGGACCTTTCTCCTCTGGTTCCACGACATCCGAAAGAGCCATTGTGGTTACCGTCTCGCTAAGATCCATCATCATTTTAGACCATCATTTTAGAGCCCCCCCCCCCAAATGGAACACAATGCAGCAGGCGATGGCCTCGGCGATAGCTCACACCAGCAATGGCTCGCCAGACTCGTCGCTGAGTCGGCACGGCTGGGAAGACCGGTCGCTCCGCTCGATGACATAGGCGACTTCACCGCGAGAGACGGCGGCCCACAGATCCCCCCTGATCAGATGGACTACTTGCTCAGCTTGCTCAAAGTTTTACTCGATGGTAGGAGCATAGTTGCATCTTACAATTATGTCTTGCTCGTGCTCCTGGCTGGCTTCACAGCCCTTCATCTGCTGGAGAGGAGGAGGTGCCGGAAAAGGTGGGAGAGGAGAGTGCATGCATCGTTCACCACCGTTGACGGGGAACCAAAATATAACAAGAGCGTACCCGAGGTCGCAAGTTCCTCATCCTCGAGCAGCTCTTACGGGACCACAACTCCTTCAGGCACAGTGAAGGATATTGCGCCGGATCTCGAAAGACTGCCGCTGCTCAGACCGAATCATGGACAAGCAAAGATAAACAAGTGGGCGCGCGTAAAGAGCCGTGTCGACTGCTGGTTGGAATATCAACCAAGGCCGCTTCCGCTGGTCAGGAGGACTCTCCCATCAAACGCAACTTCCATGTTCATCACAATATGGGTCGGCATCAATGCCTTTTTTCACCTATACCAAGTTCATTTGCTGGACCCGAAATACTTCTTCTGTTTCGCCGATCGAGCTGGGCTTGTGTTCATCGTCAATCTGCCTCTGCTCTATCTCCTAGCTGCCAAGAACCAGCCGATCAAGGTCCTCACAGGTCGCTCGTACGAGGCTCTGAACATTTTTCATCGCCGCGTGGGTGAATGGATGTGCTTCGAAGCAGCCGTCCATTTCGTGAGTATGGTCGTCTGGCGCTTCGCACCCATTAAGCCTGCCTGGTTAGATGGCGAGGGAGGCGCCAAGGCCTATTTCACTCATCCGCTCATCTTACTTGGTATCGCTGCCTTTGTGGCCTACGAGCTTCTATACTTCACGTCCCTAGGAAGCTTCCGTCAGCGATGGTACGAGATGTTTCTCGCATCTCACGTGGTATTGCAGATCGTCGCACTGGTATTCCTTTATCTACACTTTCATACGGCGAGGCCATACGTGCTTGCATCGCTGGCCATCTTCATCATTGATCGTGTCGTGTGGCGCATTGGACTGAAAACTACCACGATAACGACGAATCTTACAGTACTACCCGATGGTGACACAATAATGATGTCCGCCAACTGGGACAAGCCTGCCCCGGCACGATCCTGGCTCTACTGGCCACGCCACAACATCAAGTTTGGATGGAAGCCGACAGACCACGTCTTCCTCTCGGTACCTGCCTTGGGACGAAAGCACGCCTTCCAAGCACACCCATTTACCATCACATCAGCTGCGCCGGTATTAGAAAGGAGAACGGGGGGAGATCAGGGGCAGTCAACTCACTACTGGCTGAACTTGTTGATTCGGGCTCAGAAAGGATTCACGGCCGATCTGCTATGCTACGCTCACCGCCACCATAGCGCCAATGTTCGCCTTGACGGGCCTTATGGCTCATCTCACGCCCTAGAGATGCTACTTGCGGCCGATAATGCAATCCTTGTTGCAGGAGGCAGTGGTATTGCGGTCACGTTTCCATTGGTCTGGGCTCTCTTGATGGGAGAAGGGCTTAACGAAGTTTCCCACAACGGCGCCCTTGCGCCGAGAGGCAAGAAGACGCACCAGAGAGTGCGCATGATGTGGATCGTTCACTCGGACGAACACCGCTACTGGCTTCCCAGCTCCACGCTCGACGACCTTGTTGCCGCTGGTTTGGACCTTGTCGTTCCACCTTCCACCGCTATTGCAGGGCGGCCAGACGTGGTCGACACTGTCGAGCGATGGATCAGAGAGGCTGGTGATAGTGAGACTGCTGTGGTTGTGTCTGGGCCCGATGGTCTCAACAGGATAGTTAGAAACACGTGCGCGAGGGCCATTGGGAAGGGAGCAGATGTTCGGTTGGCAGTAGAGAAATTTGGATGGTGATGCTGTTTTCAAGCTATTGCATGGCAGGTAACATTTATAGATATCTGGCTTTGATACTGTGGCCTGATTTGAGATTAAGATTGGCATAGAATACAGTCCTCAAAGAGCTGGTAATAGAGGTTGGTTCCCGGAGATCAGGGAAACAACCTGACACATAAATTTCCCCAGCTTGCGATCGGGACAATCAATGTAGCTTCTTGCTCGCTACAGCTATCATTACTGCACATTTTCATGTATGCAAGAAAGACACTGGTGATCCTGTGGCGTATCAAAGACACGTTTGAAGCAGATTGAATTCACTTCCTGCGTGAGCACATTTCTACTGGTTTCAAAATTATATGAATTATGGTGCCCGCTTCACCAAAAGAGAATTACCTGTAGACGTAGAAGAAAAAGCGCCTCGTACCCCGGGGGCGGTTGTCAAGACTTTCGTTTGCCACTCAGACCCAGCTCTTCTTGGACTCTGCGCTTGAGTGGTAGATAGTCTTCCCTCCCGCATCCAAGTACTGCTGCCGAGCGAACTCAAAATCCGAGTCGAAGCGAATCCCGTTGCGACGCCTCGTGAATGGTATAAGACGAGGGGTGGAGGCCCTAGAATCCCTCCACACAAAGGAACGGAGCTCTGGTAGAGAACCAGCTATGAGTATCACAGCCGGCTCAATAAATGCCCATACAATAAGAGTGATGATGTCAACTGTAAACATGGGAAGTCGTCAGCAAAGCGAACAAGCAGTTTTCATCTCATTTCTGGTGACCAGACAAGACTCACAGGTAACATCGTCTCCGATAAGGATGTGCATTACAGATGTCTTCACCCAACTGGCAATGGCAGCACTGGCCATCATCGTTAGCCTGGAAAGCGAAGCAGAGCAGTTGAGAACTTACAAAACCCCGAGTGCTGTAAGCACCAAAGCTCCCACCCAGTCCCTCTGTTTCGAAGTAGTTTTTCGGACGACGTACAGCCCCACCAGAGAAATGAACAAATCGAGAATTCCACCGACAGCTAATAAAAATGTTTAGCCAAAGCCCGTCAAAGCGAATTGCTTACAGATGCCACTCACCAGTGTTCATGATCGGTATCGCCACTCGCACCCGCGGAGACCAACAATAACCATAAGGAAGAGTGTCCCAATTTTTCCTAATAGGCGTGCATTGGACCCAGAGGAAAAGTCCCGACAGGCCGGACACAATGTTCGAAGCAAAGATGACGAACCAAGTGAAGAGACGTGGCCAACCATCCGCAATTCGGAGCAATGAAACTGCGAACCCTATCCTAGCCACCGCAGTAACCGCGATATTGATCGTCGAAGCAATCGTGGCCAGAAGGGCGAACTCGCGGATCGTCTGAGGGGTGAGATTTGTGACGTGCCTGCCCAATCCATTGCGCGCTTCGAGTACCGTCACTATAGTGAACGCGAGGAATAGGATCTGGGGCGATGTCACGAAGTGGTTAGTATGGACCCAGATACATGTGATGGTAGTGAAGCAGCCTTCATACCCAAGCAACAATGACGATGTAGTCATCCCACCAGAGCCGCATGCGTCTCCTGAATTTGTTGTATATCCGTAGACCCACCACAGTACCAGACAGTATGGTCATCACCCAGCCCAACACATCGATCTTGGGCTCTATATAGCGGTCCTCAGCCGATAGCTGAACGACAACTGTGGTTGGGGCCTGCGTCTGGGGCAGATTGGGCAACAGCGGGCTGGCGAGCGTGGCGTTCATGATGGGTAGATGTTTCCCTGAGATCAATGGCTTGTGAAACGAAAACGAGGATCGATGCGAAATGGTGAGCGCCTCAATGTGGTGTATATATCACGCAGTCGGTTGGCCCCTGGCCCAACCACCTAACGTCGGGGTATTCACATTTCCGTGCAGCTACTACTGAATTCAGCAAAGTTCTCAAGGGGGTCGACGTGTTCCACAACGACTCCGCAAAACACCACTTCAAAGGGACGGTGCGCGGATCGCAACCTTGGAAGGGGAAGCCAATAGAAGGACCGTTGGCTTTTGTTTGAAAACACCAAGTGCGCCATGCCCAACTGTCGGGCAGCCCTCGAGAGTTCGGGCGAGTAGCTGCTGCATGCTGTCAGAGGCTCTGAGTGGCCGTTGTCCAAGTACCGGGCAGCCTAGGCCCTAAAGAATTCAGCCTCAACCTTGGAACCCCAAGGGGCGAGTTCCCAAGGGTTGGTTCGGGGCCGAGCGTATTGTGAGACGCAAGCTATCTGTCATGGAGTATAACCTTAAATGTGATTTGCATAAGGCCGCCGCCGCCGGTTTCTGCGGCAAATTTTGTGATTGGTCAGACCAGTTTCGAAACAGCGGAGTGCAATTGCGATTGGAAATCCTCCCGCTGTCTCTGGATGTGACGTTCCGGGGTTCTGAGGTCGTCATTGCGGGTGGACTGTCTGTTCGTGAACCCCCTGCGCGACCACGGTGCAATCAGCAACCCTGGTGAGCAATGACCCCAGTCACACATCAGTATCAAAATATGCATGCCGGGAACTTTAGTATGTCATTCGATGAGCGATGAAAAATGGCGCCCCCCTCACAACTCATCACAGCCTCATCGAGCAGACCATTCGGGTCCGGAAGGAAGGAACTGGGCAAGCATCACTAGATCGGCGATTGGCACCCAAGCATACCACTGCGACCTGACCGGGAAGGCTTAACAAGTCGGGCCAATCCAAGAAAGTGACATCTGGACACAGCCGGATCCAGGGTCTGGGCTACACCAGTCGGCAGGTTCCTTGAACTAGGCACGACGAATGCCTGCAGTCTAGCCCTTGTTGGTCCACCTTACTCTGCAGACCGCTTGGCTAAGAATCACACAGACAAATGCACTGGATAAATTTCCAGAGCTTCAGACACGTGAGCTGGGCGGCTGGATGGGGCCCGAAAGTCTATGACCAGGCGACTGTGAAACGGGTGGTAGTTATTAGACTTAGGGGCGTCCAGAAAAAGGTAAGTTTTTGGGCAGGACAGAAAGAGCCCCATTGTGATAAACTGATGGGCTGGGACTACCCTTACGAGTATCTTTAAGGTAGCTTCTACAACTTCTTACTTAGGTACTTACAGGATGTTAGGGTTTAATCTAGACCTGCTTTGGTGTTGTGGAAGTGTGATTCCAGGGATAGACACGTCTCGCGTTATTATGCTTGACACTTGCCTTTATTGACTTGGAAAGCCCGTAAATGGCTCCAATGACAAATCAATAGAAGTTAACCTATACTGGTCTCATGCTCCGTCTCAAGGGGTGAAAGATAGAGGAACGCTCCCTCGGACAAGGATGGGCAGCCTGGAGCAAAGAAAGCACTGAACGGCCATAAGACGAAAAATAAAAACGAGGAGATTGCCCAACAGTGACTAAAGCTCTTCAATGAATCTTTTGAAAGGGAAACCAATAGTGAACCTCGTTAAAAGTCTTAATCTCTACAGTTTTTGAAGATCACTGTTCAGGCCCAGGTGGCCGCGGTGAATAAATAGGCTAGGCCTCGTTCTGTGTTAAAGTATGTCCAGAAAGGCATCGTCAAAAATTTCAATTGAATTTGACTGAGAAACTCCTTTCCAAATGAGCACGGGCCGATTGAGGCATTGAACTCGGAATATGTCCATGCTGGACTAAGAGGCTTTGATGAAGACCCACATGTGCAATTAGACCCATTAATCAATATCAGCAATGCTCTGAAATTGGTCCGCTATACACTAAGAAGACGTTCAGTTATCATTCTAGGAATCCGTACGCGTGTAAAAGTTGAGAACAAGCCATATAACTAACTAGGTATCAGAGGCACCAACGGGGCCTATAAGTGCACCCTGGGCAAGCTTACTAAGTAGTAGTACCTGGCATGTGGGCGACATTCCGTATACGCTTCACACAACTCAATCCGAATTCATACATATAAAATATATGTGGTACCTTCGTAGTCACAATGGCAAACCCTCATGACACAATGTTTAGATGAGTAAAATGCCAATAATAGTGCAGAGAAAATACTTTATGTGGGCATGTGGCCTCAGCCTCGTGCCGCACCAACCAAGCCTTGGATTTATCACTCCCGACTTCCAGTGATCAGATGGGATTTTTGAGTGACTAATCCATTCAGTACAGAACTCAGACAATGGAATTGTAGAGGTACTAATACCTTGTGCATAAGCCATTATGAACACGGCAGATGCGTTCAAAGGTGCCTTGTCGCAATGAATGACCGGGCTTCTGTTCTTATTGTGAGAGACTTCCCGGGCCGCTGAGAAATTATTGTCACAAAGCTGATCTATCCAGGTCTGACGGCTTTGTTCCCACTAAGAAGCTTGTGTTTTAAATATGACCATGAATTCCCCACCAAGTTGACACACCTTATACAGCCCAGAATTCCTCCTTTGATACATTAAACAAACACACAATTCATCTACAGCAACGACTCATTCAAGGTTCTACATACTTTCAAAACAAGAATCATGGAAAAAGCCATCTTGGCCCTAATCCTACTAACTGGCCGTGTCTCAGCACACACATGGCTAGAAAGCCTGCGTCTGATTGGCCCTAACGGTGCCTTCACTGGCGAGCCGGGCTTTCCTAGAGGGTTTATCTCTAGACAGGACCCTGCGTACTCAGACGACGCGCTGACTTACAGAATTACAGCTAAAGAAGCAGCCACTCCACTCTGCCACCCAGCTCAGCAACTTGACAATGGGTACAGCAACCCGGAATTCCCACGACTCAAGGCGTCAGCCGGCTCCTTTGTTGCTTTGACTTATCAAGAGAACGGCCACGTCTCAGCTCCGCAGGTTCCCGAGGGGCGGCCATACCGTTCAGGCAACGTCTACGTTTACGCCTCTACTAGCCTTCGGGACGAGGAGTTTGAAGCCGTTCACGGGAATTGGACTGCAGATGGAGAACTCAAGTCCGGTCGCTTGTTAGGGACCCACTTCTACGACGACGACAGCTGTTATCAAAATCAAGGTTCCGCGGGCACACCTATCAACGTTGAGCGTAAAGCAGCAGCTGGAAACCTGGAGTCTGTCGACTGTCAAACTGACATTCAGCTTCCTGAAGATATAGATTCGGACAGGATCGCGCTTTACTGGATCTGGAGCTGGCCCCTTTGGCCCAACACCGAGAAAGAAGCCGCTGAGTTTTATGTTGCATGCGCTGAGATTGATATTTCTGGGGTAAGTTCCCCTTCAGAAGTTTCAGTTGACAGTTCAATCCCCATCAACCAGAGGGCCGTTCAAACCCAGTTGGATACCCAGTTCGAAGTCTTTGAACTCGGCACAGGCACAGCAGCGCCTCCCCCGGTCACGAGCACCAAAATTGCACCCTCGTCCGCCCCATCAACCACTCACTTTCCTTCATCAACTGCCAGTGAGGTCGATGAATGTTCCGGACTTACAACAGTCTACGTTCCGAGCGCCACCGTGACCGTCACAGTCACGGCCGCTGGCCCGACGGCCCGGGTAAGTCGTTATAGGTAATTTACGGGATCTCGTGTGTTTGAACATTTCTCATACAGTGTCAATAAAAGTGTCAGATTTATTATTTGAAGGTATTTTTCTATGATTTTGGGGCTTATATTTCACATAAAGACCAAGCTTTGATGCGTGATCGGTAATATGCTCCTGTCAAATCAGGTGGCTTGGTTTCTAATCCCCATAGAGTTGAAAGAGATCTAATAATGATGTTGTAGATGGTAACTTAAGTTTTTACTGTGCTTGTGTGAGGGGGGCCAAGTTTCGTGTGAATTCAGACTTGGTTCTCGACAGAGAGCATTGGTGTGTACGAGAACCCGGTAGTATCGGCTGCCCCGGGCGTGATTGACGCGCAAGCGCCACCATATATTCCGTGTTGTAAATGCTGTGCAATCAACGCTAGATACGAAGACGATAATGCAGTACAATGTAGACACTGGTGGAGGAAATCTCGGTCAGATCTACTGCACAATATTTCACTGTTGGGGTATGACAGAATGGGCTGAGATGGTGGGTCAGTAAGCTGATGGAACACCACCTAACACAGCAGGGCTGTCAGCATAATGAATCCTTCAAAGCTTTGAGCCACCGTGCCGTGAAGCCCAAGTGACATCATTGATCCCATTTAGCTTCACTCTTTATGGAGTATTCTTCTATTGTATATACTATCAAGGCATTATATGGATAGCTACTTGGATCAAATAATTGCTAGTTATAGCTTGGCATATCCGAATACCTAGGTATGCGACTTGTCCAACCGACATTGGTGAGCAAATTCCCAAGATGGTCTTCCCCTTTGAGGTCATCGAACACACAATCCCTGCCCAGCACATCCGGGAGTGGCCGCGGGCAACAGCTGTCTCTCAGGAACGTACACTGCAGCTCTGCATCAAGCAGTACAAGCCCATCGACAACCCCGAGCCACAGCCAGGCGACGTGACGGTCATCGGCACACACGGAAATGGGTTCCCAAAGGAGGTCTACGAGGCGTTGTGGACAGAGCTCCACGCCCGGGCCCAGAAGCACGGCTTCCGCATCCGAGCCATCTGGATTGCCGACGCGGCGCACCAGGGCCACAGCGGCGTGCTCAACGAGGGATCCATCGGCAACGATCCGAGCTGGTATGACCATGCGCGCGACCTTCTGTACATGACCAACGCCTTCCGTGACGACATGCCCCAGCCCATCGTCGGCATCGGCCACTCCTTCGGCGGCAGTGTCCTGACACACCTGTCGCTGATGCACGCCCGCCTCTTCACGGCCCTTGTCCTGTTCGACCCCATCATCATGATGATGTCGCTCAATCAGACCGGCGCTATCTTGGGGGCGCGCATGTCCGCCGTCCGCCGTGAGACCTGGCCGACGCGGGAGGCGGCCGCTGAGTCCTTCCGGAGGTCGCCCTTCCACAAGTCATGGGACACAAGAGTCCTCGACGCCTACATAGCCCACGGAATCCGAGACCTGCCGGCCTCCACCGCCTCCGGGGAAGCCGGCAAGGCGGCCCTGACGACCCCGCGGGACCAGGAGGTCTTCACCTTCTTCCGGCCACTCTACCCGTACGTCGGGGACGACGGGGCGGTCGACCGGGACGGCGCCCCCGACTTTGACCCGACAATGAATGACAAGCCGCACAAGGGCCAACCGTTCCCCTTCTACCGCAGCGAGGGCTCCTCAGTCCTGGCCCGGCTGCCCCACGTGCGGCCTTCCGTGCTCTGGGTCTACGGCGAGAAGAGCGACGTCAACCTGCCGCCCTCGGCGCGGTCGGAAAACGTCAAGGCGTGCGGGACTGGCCCCGATGGAAGCGGTGGCGTCCAGGCCGGCAAGGTGGCCGAGGTCGTCATCGAGGGCCGCGGGCACTTGTTCCCGTTGGAGGTCCCTGATCTCTGTGCCGAGCATGCCGCCGCGTGGGTCGGGAAGGAGATACAACGCTACCGGAAGGCCCAGCTCGAATATGAGGACTGGACGCACCTACCGTTGCGCGACAAGGTGACTATAAGCCCGGAGTTTGCAAAGGCCTTGGGTCGACCATCGTTAAAAAAGCCGAGGAACAAAAGTAGTACGCGGTCAAAGTTGTGAAAAGAACAACGTGTTTGGACAGCCAGCCGGACTGGAAAAGCGTCTTATTTTGGTAGCAATACAATCGTTTGCATTTAATACAATGCCCTGTTTACTAAGTCACCCTGATACAACCTCGAGTCCTTTCTCAAGGCACAATCTAGCTCTTGACCCCCTGGTGACTGGTTTCACTTCTATTCCGTATACGTCCGAGGGCATACATGGCGCCTTGTCAGACATGCTCTTCTGACCTGGGGCCGCGAGAATCCTAGAGACGGGCCCTCGTCATGGAGAGAAGCTTTCAAGTGTTTCTGGGGCTGAGGCTCTGAAACCTGCCGCTTATCGTCACCCTTTTCTTGCATCCCCGCTGTAAGATTGCGCGCGTAGCCTTATACAGTACGATATCATAGGCGCACCACGCGGGTACTCAGACTCCCGGCGTGGTAGCAAAAGGGTTAAAAAAGACTGTTGACTGCCCACGTGAGACCCAAGCTGGGCACTATGTGCATATCGTATGTGTTGACTGTGACCTCGGGGAGCCTCCTTCTTCGGGCTGACTTCCGAGAATATATCGAAGGTGCAGAAGACTTATGGCCCAACCAAAAGGAACAGAAAACAATTCTCTTTTACTCTAGTAAATTGGCTAGGCTCGGCTAGTGCAGCTTGTCCTTGTGTTGTGGGTCAGTCGAGGAGCCCGAGGAGACAACTGCTGAAGCGCAAGAGCAGTTGTTAAGAGCTTGACAGAATCGATGGACCCGAAATAATTGATAGCTGGATTCATAGTCACTTCACCTGGTACATCCTGATAGTTAGGATCGAGTGTGTCAAGTTGATTGGCTGGCCCATCTCGGGCGTTTGGTTGAACGTACAAGACATTTTCGGTTTCCGTTGACTGAGGTCAGCGATAGACGATTGACTTGGACATGATCAACAAATGAAGCAGCCATCAATAGCTCATATGACTCCACCGGTGTGAGTCGCGCAGCTGATATGAGACTGGAAGCCGATAGACTTCCTTCTAATCCATAGTAATTACCTATGTCAAAGGTCCTCCCAAGGTCGGGAGTACGAAGAAACACTAGTTGTATATCATGTTTCCCCCTTCCACTTCCACGACGCATTCCTATGCAGTGCGCGGTCCCCACTCGCATATGAAATTGCTGCGCTCCATATTCCTCCAATTGGCCAGTACGCTTTGAGCCACGCAAAGCGGTTCACCGTCCACCCCCGCGACGCAATCCCCGCCCGCACGTCGTCCCACCGCACATGCACCTTGTCATATACACTTGGCAGCGCTGAAGCGTGGTATTTGGCCCGCAGATCGTCGTACCAGCGGCGCCCGCCGTAAACAGCCCAAAAGTCATCCTCGGGCTGGTAGACATGCGCGTACAGCCACTTTGTGCCGCCCAGCGAGCGCACCTTATCTTCGATCGCTCGGTTCTTGGCGATGAAGGCAGCCGGGTCAAAAGTGCCCTCATGGCCCCAGACGCCGATGTTGAGCATCATGTCATCTTCCCCGTCGTTTCCCGGTCGTGTGGTGAAAGGGTGGAAGGTTGGCGGAGGGCGCCGCTTCATGGGGCAGAGCCATAATGGCCAAATTGGGTGACTCTCGTCGAGGTAGTCGACGAGGGTTTCAGCGGTCTCGAAAGGCATGGCGATGTCTTGGATGGTAAAAGTGTTATGTATCTCGGTATCAAAACCCCTATACATCATCCGTGTATGCAGAAGGTCGTCAAGAACCCAGCGGCTGAACCTGTTGAACGGCAGCAGCCAGTACATGCAATTGAACCGGCCCACCCAGAACGCTCCACGGTCGTACCGAAATAAATACTCGGCTAGAGGGATGTAGTCCTCCCCTGGCTCATGAGAACTTTTTTGGCCTGGGTTTGATGTTCTATCTTCAACATGGAGGTAGAACCAAGGATCCCAGGCGCCGCTGAATGTCTGCGGCTTCACGTCCTGCGGCTTCTCATCCGTGAGCGTCCCAGTGATGACCACCCCGTACTCCTTGGAGTAGAGTATTGCGTCCACGTAATCATTCTCGGATTTAGCTGTTTCCTCTCTGACGAGCTTAATTGCCTCGGAAACACTATTGATGCGGTGATAGCGCGTGTGTACGAACTTCTTCGCCGGAATGAGGTTGATTTCCAGGAGTGTTACGATTCCGAGTGTGCCGACGGCTCCGGGAGCTGCCCGAAATAGATCTGGACGCTCATCATGACTGGCTGTAACTATTTCTCCGTTCGCCAGAACCATCTCGATTCTTCCCACGGTTTCATCAAAGAACCCGTGTCGGAAGCTTGAGCTTTCACCGCCCGTGCCGGCGAAGCCACCGCCGGCTGTGATGCCGGGGAACTCCATCACGACAGGTGGAACCAGCCCATGGGGCAAAGTTGCCTCTACCAAAGCGTCCATGGCTACGTTGGGTTCCACCAAGACTGTTCTTCTCACTTTATCCATCGCGAGAACGTGCACCAATCCCGAAATGTCTATGGCACCCATGTTTCCCTTTGGCCGGGTGCTGTTCGTGTTGCCATGAGATATCCTGTAGGGTTCCTTGCGGCCATGGAATTCCCGGACGGATGCGGAAATCTCTTCCACTGCTGCACGGTGTCTGTCCATATCCATTGAAGTAGTATCTTTGCTAATGTGTTACGCAAGCTGATTGAATCTAGTGATTGGAAGAAGTATGTGGAATCGACTAATTTTCTCTGAGCCTGGTGGGAGAAAGGACTTCCAAGGTTTTATCACCTCCGCGATCGCCAGATCTTTAATTGATACGGAACAAAGGTACCCAAGCGAGGTTCTGTTTTTCTGTCACCGCTCCTGAAGTCTTCATTAGGCTTGGTATTGTACCGACATATTGTTCTCGATCCGTCATCTCCCAACACAAAGCCCAAACTTGGCTCCCGGCAGAATATTCTTGGCGGCCAACAGAGCTCGAGTTGATGCTGCGCAAGCCGTTGGCGGGATCGCTCACGCTGATCAGCAATTGAGTCTACCATAGTTGGCTAGCCTTGTAGAAAGGCCTGTGATGCTTCACAACTCTGCAGGAAGTTGTTGAACCCGGGCATGCACTTTCTGAGGTTTGTTCAAGGAGATATTTGCGTGTTTGTGGTTTGTGACGATTGCAAAATACGGTCATAATTGCATTTCCTACGCTTTAATTTCCTCTTCCTCATTAAATTTTATGGCTAATCTGGCATCGGTGTTTGGAAATGGAGGTGATAGCCAATTGGGTGACAAACAATTCCCATGTTGCATCAACGGACGGGCCCAGAGAGGCTTCAGAGTCGGGCGGGCGGCATCTCATTATTGCCGTACGCTTTTTAACATAATTGAGGGGATATGCATCTCTCCGACAAATAAAAATCAATAAAAAGAAGGAAATGGAAAAAAAAAGAAAAAAGCCTCATGTGCGAGTCCGTCTCTTTCACCTGTACTTCCGTGGCATAATGCCGTTTCGTTCCATGGGACGCGTCAGTGGCTCGGGTATGAAAATATCCGGGGGTCAATCCTTCCGGCGGTTACCCACTACGCCTCCCGCTAGCAGTGGGCAAGAAGAGCCGAAACCCACGGGTCGCCTCAGGTTGGCGGCCGGATATTACATCCGGGAATGCGGGGGGTGATTGACGTCCCGGTACCCGGCTTCGGAGCATCTCAGTAGTAGAAAGTCGACATCATCCCTCACCCCCAACATTGAAGGTCTACCTTAGCAGCCAAGTGTGATAACAGCTCAATTGAACCCCAGCCTCAATCTCACATTCAGGGCAAGGATAACCAGCCGATCAACATGGCAGGACCTCTCAAAGTGGCCGTCCTGGATGATTACTTCAACTTTGCCCGGTCCATCTTCCAGAAGCTCGATCCCAGCAGATACGAAGTGACTATCTTCAAAGACACGCTTCTCCCCTACAACCACCCCAAGACGCCCCAGGATGAGAAAGACAAGCTGGCCAAGCGGCTTGAGCCGTTTCCGATCATCTGTGAGCGAGCCCCAGGCATGCGAGACAGCGCCAGAAGACTGACCAGCACCCAGGCACGATGAGGGAGCGCACGCGGTTCCCCAGGGATCTCGTCTCACGCCTGCCAAATCTCAAGCTCCTCCTCACGACGGGCACGCGCAACAAGGGCCTGGACCTGGAGGCGTTCAAGGACCACGGGATCCCTGTTGCGGGCGCGGTGAGCTCCGGCGACAGCACGACGCAGCACTGCGTCGCGCTGATCCTCGCGCTGGCCCGCAACATTGTCCCCGACGACCGGTCGGTCAAGATGGGCGGGTGGCAGACCGGTGTGGCTGTGAGACTCTCAGGGGCAGTGCTCGGGGTGATCGGGCTGGGCCGGCTGGGCGTCGCCGTCGCAAAGATCATGCACACGGCGTTCGGGATGAAGGTGCTGGCGTGGAGCACCAACCTGACGCAGGAAAAGGCGGACGAGCAGGCGAAGGAGGCAGGCCTGCCTGTCGAGGACGAGAACGGGGAGAAGACGTTCAAGGTGGTGAGCAAGGAGGACCTGTACGGGCAGTCAGACGTGGTCAGCGTGCACGTGGTGCTGTCGGACCGGTCAAGGGGGATGATCACGAAGAAGGAGCTGGAGCTGATGAAGCCCGAGGCGTTGTTTGTCAACACGTCCAGAGGGCCGCTGGTGGTGGACGAGGACCTGCAGGACGTCCTGGAGCAGGGCAAGATCCGGGCGGCGGCCATGGACGTGTTCGAGCTGGAGCCCCTGCCGCTCGACAGCCGCTGGCGGACGACGAAATGGGGACAAGACGGAAGGTCGCAGGTGCTGTTGACGCCTCACACGGGGTACGCCGAGAAGGAGACGCTTACGAAGTGGTATGAGGAGCAGGTCGCCAACATCCTCAGGTGGGAAAGGGGAGAGCCACTGACCAACGTCATGGCCTGAGGCTGAGGTGCTGGGAAGGTGGACGGGGCAGACGAGGCAGCAATGCATTGAATGCCCAGGTGGTTAATGAAAACAAACAGCTTTCAGCCCGAGATGCCTCCGAACTGGGGGGAGGCAGGTGGGCTTCCTTAGGTACCTAGGTACTTTGTACCAAAGACACGAACCTGCCTTCCTGCCCTCCAGCCCTCCTGCCTCCCTAGGCAGGTGCCCTCGCAGCCTTTGTTCAACAACACATCGTGACTGCCACCTGATACACGCCTGCCTTCCGCCCTCATTATATGCCTGAATGCACGAATGCCTGACTTGTACCAAGGCTGTCTGTCCGTCGCCGAGATCAACATATCACACTGTTTGGCAAACCTGTCAGTTACGACGACTTGCTCTCTGTTTGCTACCACGTTTCTCTCCCCCACATGCCCTGGACCTACCAATTCCATCAGACCCCTCAGATTCCCCATCCGACCGTCTGCTCCATGGTGGTTGGACGGTTGCTGTTGTTGTGGTGGCTGTTTTGGTTGGATTTGCGCTCCGTTTGACTGACGCATCTTCTCAATGCCCACAGACCTCATCGAAAGTCTGCTCGCAGAGATGAGCCGCACGAGGCCCTCAGACATGATGCCTCTGAAGGCGGAGCCTGGCGAGGCAAGGAGCCTTGGTCAGTGTCTCGCCTCCTTCGGCCCTGGCCTGCAATCTCGACAGTATTTTCACTGACCAGTCCCAAAGACATCCCGCCCTTCCCAAGCTACTCTGTCGAGCCCGAAGGACTTCCCGTTGCCAGCAACCCGACCAAATACCCAGTCCCGAGGTCATTCACCGGTGGTCCCGTTCCAGCCCCAGGGACCCCTCAAGACCGTTTTGCAGCTGTTCTGGGCCACCCTCGTTACGGCTCTGTGCCCACGGCTCTCATGGCCATGGGCTTCAGTGCGGACCAGCCTTACCAAACTCACCCAAATCAACAGCCTTCCGCACTCAACATGCAGTTTTCTGCTCCGGGTGTTGACATCCCTGGAGCCCTCCCCGCGTCCCAGTCGATGGCCAACTATGTTCCGCCCGCACTGCGGCAGACGCCATCAGGATCAAACGGGAGGTCCGACAGCAGTGGTAGTGGCCGAGGCCCTACTCTGCCTGAGCGTGGCGCCCCAGTAACCACCTGGTAAGTAATCCTTCTGGGCAGCGATAACCCGCTCCGACTTTCCTCCAGGAAGGGGGAGGGGTGGTTTCTCAAGGTGTGCCGGATGACAAGCCTGCACACACATTCAATTCTCCTTTGATTTTTTGAAGTCAAGTCTGAAATTGTGCTAGGCTAAGTTTCGAGTGTCAACGGCGTCATTTCAATCCCGAGTTCAAGACCAAGGAAACCTTCACCAAGGATGGTAGACCCAAGTACCAGTCAACCGTGATTGTGAAGGACATTGTGATTAATAGCAATTCCCTTTTCGACGACCCTGCAGCCGCGAAGGCGCATATCGCCGACAAGGCACTCCGCTACATCCGTCGGGAATGGCCCAGAAACGGATTGCCCGCCTCCTATGGCGGCACGCCCGAACCGACCGCCGTGAGGACCAATATGGAAGATCTTGGCCGGCGCCAGGAGGAGCTGAGGCAGCTGCTCAAGCAACGCCACCAGGCGAAGAGCATAGAGTCGAAAAAGAGTGGCAGCAGCCCTCCAGTGTCTGCCAGCGTGGACATGTCAGATCCCGCCCAAGCTCAGGCCTTTGTGGAAGGCTTCAATGTCGGCCGCCTGGCAGGTCTGCGGGAGGCTTCTGGAAGTGGCGCCTCGCCCCCCAGCATCCCGCAGTCCCGCCGACGGTCTCGATCTCCAGGCCGTGGCCGGAGCAGTTCACAGAGCAAGGCGGAGAAGGCAGAGGAGCCCTACCGGCAGCGTTCACCAATCCGTAATGCCACCAGGACAAGTCGCACTGCTCCATCGCCCCCTCGATACTTCGATGGCAGTCGCCACGGTAAGTAGACGTCAGACTCCCCAAGTTGAAATACCTTGGCAGATTGTTTGCTCCAAGCACGTGAGTGGTCTTCCAAATGTTCTGTTGCTGACCAAAGGTACTCGGCAGACGCCCGCCTGCCCTCGACCGACAGGTACCGACCCCGTAGCTCTCCATCGAGGAAATGAGACGGGCTGTCGTTGCCCGACGGAGTCTTTGGAAATCTCTGGTTGCGAAGATAGTTTCAGGGTCGCCCTCACGGCGAGCTTGCACAGTTTCGTGTTCGCTTTTGTCGCCTATCAGCCAATTTGCGGGCGACTGAGCAGAAACTGGCTGGCAAAACAGATTTCCATGGTTCTATCGGCCCGTGGGAAACATTGAAGCCTGTTAGAGGGTATCTGTGCTCGAGTCTGGAATTTACTCGAAATAAGAAGACAAGCTGCAAAGCCAGGCCCCACAGAATCATATGCAAGAGTCAGAAGTATGCAAGAAACACCAGGTTTTGGCAACGCTGTTCTTGAATTCTTCCATTGAGCGACGTTTCTTGGGTTGGCTCCGAAGGAAGACCCGTTGGACGGAGCTGGGATGGTTGGGGAGTGTGCCTAAGCGTCTTTGATGCGGTCAACTTGTTGCTTTGGAGCTGTCGGCGAGGAAACTTTACAGTTAGACTTAGATTTGATTTGTTGGTCGACAAAAAGGAGTTCCAGATAAAGTCGCCTGTAAGATCCAGATACAGAACGCAGATGATTTTGTTGAGACGATGCGGGGCCTGGTAGACATGTTGTCGCTTTATGTACAGCCACGATTGTAACAAATTTGTCCTCATTTTCATGACTTTGCAGTGCTATGGCTCAAAGTCTGCTTGGCATCCTTGCCCCTCCGTCCAACCTAATCACACATCCGTTCAGCATCACGTTTTCGATGCAATGCTTCGCCAAGGACGCAAACTCGGGTGCGGTGCCGCCTCGCTTGGGGAATTCCATAGCCTTTTCGAGGCTCGTCCGGACCTTGTCGCTCAGCACGCTGGTCATGGGTGTCTCGAAGGTGCCCGGCGCGATGGTGACCACCCTGATGCCATGCCGCGAGAGGTCCCTGGTCATGGGCAGTGTCATGGACGCCACGGCGCCCTTGGACGCCGCGTACGAGACCTGGCCCATCTGCCCGTCGAATGCAGCAGCAGATGACACCATGATCACCACGCCGCGCTCCTTGTCGCCCGAGGGGGTGACGTGGGGCGGGGACTGCGACAGCTGCGGCAGGAACTGCCGCACCAGGTCGACGGTGCCACGCAGGTTGATGCTGAGCACAAAGTCGAGGGACTGCAGGCTCAGGGGCCGGTTTTTGCCGTCGAGGATCTAAAGGAGGGCGGGCGTCAGTCAACAGGGGGTGTCTGCCGGTCAACATAACATACGAGTGCTGGGTTGCCCACGCCGGCGGCAGGGATGATGCCGCCCAGCGGGCTGCCCGTCTCGTGGACCCACTGCTCCGTGCCCTTGGCCGCGGCGGCAATGCTGTCGGTGTCGGTGACGTCCACGGCAAAGAACCTGGCCCGCGACGGCCCGCCCAGCTGCTTCACCAGCTCGGCGCCGGCGTCCTCGTTCAGGTCGAGGATGGCTATGTTGCCGCCCTCCTTGTTCAGCTCGACGGCTGTTGCGCGGCCGAGGCCGGATGCCCTGTTGTGGCGGTGGCTCGGTCAGCAAGCAATGGACGGACGTTGGGAGTTGGCCGCAGGCGGGCTTATTGGGGTCAGTCTTGCATGTGATCTGCTTGTAGTGTGTCTGGCTGCTCCCCCGTTGAGATGCTATGAATGTCCGGGTGGAGCCACTTACCCGCCTGAGATCACAAATGTGCGACCTGATATCTTCATCGTGAGGACTGGTGCTCTAGTAGTGTGAGATGTAAGCACAGGTCTGTAGACGCTGTCTGGGTGTGTCTGTCCGTCTGGTCTCACTGACCACTCGGGCTCCGGCTGATGGCCCCTGACTGAACCTCGGCCTAGGTTCTGTCCTGGCGACGGACCAATCTTTCGCTTACCTCATCACTCACCCACACCCACACCTCTATTTCACATCTGCTATTCTTGAGCGCGTCATTTGCTGACATGGTCAAAAAGTGAATTGATGCTTGATTCAAAAACATCCAGCACCTGTAGGTGCCAAAAGAAGTAAGGTGATAAGTGAAAAAGATATAACAGATACAATTTCACGGTCCATCGCCACACAGACCATCACTTGCAAGTTACTTCAATGCAGAGAGCAAGACTGACGTATAATAGCTGATCGCACAGAGAAGTTACAATTTTTACAGAATCCCAACTTCCGCCTGGCCACAACGTCATTAGGCAGGTTCATACCGTCCGCTGCACAAACTTAAACATAAAACTGCAGAAAGACCCAGAACGCCTTGACCCAGAACGCCTTGACCCAGAACGCCTTTACCAACAATACACAAATGCCGCAGAAAATATCACCATCAACCTAACATGCATGTTGTTCGACAAAGACAGTAAAACGAGTTGAAGTTTAGGATGAGCGTGCAACAAAGTGGGCTTAATTCGTCCCGATGCCAGTGCCATAGAACAGAGGCAGGGAGCCAGGATGGTAGCGGTAATGCTAGCTGTTCAAGGAGATGACGCCGGCGCCGTGGAATAGAGGCCAGAAGCCCCGGGTCCAGGTTGGCTGCTGTGATTCCGGATGTCGAGTGGATGAAGCCCGCGCCATAGAATAAAGGCAAGTCTAAGCTTGGCCTTCCAGGCCAGTCATGGAAGCAGGAGGAGAGGGTGCTAAGTTTTTACAAGCAGAAGACGTTAGCGTTGTAGGATAGAAGTAGCGTCATGATTTTTACCTAGGAGGGGAGATATGTGGCCAGTTGTCAAGAATCACCTCTGTTATCGGCATTGTATGGTTCCCTCTTGAAACCTTCGGTCTGGAGCGTTCACCACCTGCGCACTGTATGAAGGCGCCGTGTATTGCTTCGGCCGTCTACGCAATACAAATGAAACCAGTTGGCAAGAAAAGAAAAGAACGCCAACGCGGTAGAATAGAGGCAAGCAAAAGCCAAGTCAGGGGCCCATAAATAAATGAAGACAGAAAAAAAAAAAAAGAGACAATATAAGAGAAGAATTATACGTCCCGAGACGCGACGCTAGGATCAGGCAGGCAGGCGGCCAGGAGTAATATATTTTAAATTTCTTTTAAAAAAATCTTTAATTTTTTTTAAAAAAGAATATTTAATATTTTTTTTTAAAAAAAAAACTTTTATAAATAAATGAAATTAGAATAATATTTAGAAAGGTTAAAAAGGTTAAAAAGGTCTAAAAAAACAAGGTTATGCCCGGGATCGAACCGGGGATTCGGGAAATTTTCCATATCGATCAAAATCCCACTGCTAATCGTTAGAATCATTAAGAGAGGGACAGGTTGCGGTTAATTCATCACTCACTGTACTAACCACTATACTACACAACCATTGCCGGGGTCGTGATCATTTTTAACCTGCTATGGAGCCCTGATTGACGCCTTATAGAACCTTGCCGAACCCCTTCGACCCTCCTCCTAGGGTGGCTTGTACCTCGTTTCAGACGCCCGCGGCTGTCTGGGGGTGGCCGAAATTCAAGTTTCTTATTAACTTACTAAGATAAATGGCCGGCTAATAAATAATTAAATCTATTAGTGATTAGATTTATAATTAAAATAATTAGTAGGTGGTTAACGTTTATTTATAATACTATTTATAATATAGTTATTTATAATATAGTTTATAATATCCTTAATTAAAAATAAAATTAAGTAGTATTAGTACTTTCTATAATACTTTAATAAATAAACTTTAATATAAAAAAGTAATTTAATTTAATTTCAGTTAATACTATTTAAAATTTCCCTTTCCTACTTAATACCTATTATATAGTACAAGAATTAACTATTATATTATATTATTAATTATATTATATTTTATACTATATTTAAATTAATACTCTTATTATTATTAGCCTTTATAATAATAACCCCTATAATATAAGTTTATATACCTTATAATATAAAGATAAGATTACCCCTTATAAATTTTATTTATTACCTTCTTTAATATAAAAGTAAAGAGGGAGGTATTAAATAAATTTTAATATATAGTATAGGCAATACCTCTAAGCGTTTTAGCTAGCTTTTAATAAATAACTTATACTATATTAGTAAAGAAGGTATTAGTAGATAATTAAACCTACTTATACTAATATTTATAGTTAGCTAGATAATAAAAGCCTTAATAATAAAATCTTTAAGGATAGGATACTTAATAATAAAAGGCTTAATAATAGAAGGCTTAACGATAAAAGGCTTAATAATAGGAGGTTTAATAATAGAAGGCTTAATAATAAGAGGCTTAATAATAGAAGGCTTAATAATAAAAGGCTTAATAATAGGGGGCTTAATAATATAAGGCTTAACAATAAGAGGTTTAATAATAGGAGGCTTAATAATAGGAGGCTTAATGATAGAGGGCTTAATAATAGTAGGCTTAATAATAGGAGGCTTAGTAATAAAATATTAAGTATTAAATATAAAGAGAAACTTAGTAATAAATAAGGTATTAACCTATAAGATTTAACTAGTATAAGTTAGATAACTAATAAAATCTAGAATATTAGTAGGGTAGGTAAGGAACTTTAAGGGTATAAGGCTAGTTTTATTTATTATAGCTATTAAGGCTATATTAACTATAAGGTTAGTACTTAAAATTATAATAATAGGGTTAATATTAGGAATATTTAATATTTTAATAGTAGGGTTAACCTTTATATTAGCTTTAAATATTAAATAAATTAAATTATTTTTATTATTATAATTATTAAAACTAGAAATAATAAGTAGCTTAGGGTTATTAAGTAAAATATTTAAAATTATCTTATAGATAACCCTTTTTTTATTAAATTAAGGGTTAATTTAAAAGTAGATTTTAGTAATATTAGTTATTTTAAAGATGTTTTTTTTAATAAATTAAAAAATAAGCTTATATATTTTAGCTTAGTGCTTTTATTTATAAGTATTAAAGTTTATAATATAAACTTAAATAATAGCTATAAAGTTAGGTTTAATTAGGTTACTTAAAATATTAGTATTATTAATAGGGGTTTTTAAATTAATATATATTTAACGGAGTTTAAATACTCTTTTAGTAGTAAGTAATGTATTATAGTAGCTAGTACGGCCCTACTATTAAGTTACACTTATTATATTAGTAAAAAGCTATAAGGGATTTTAAAAATAAGTATGTTAGTATAAAAATAGTAGATATAAATAGTAGATAATAGACTATTAGTATTATAAATTAGGTAAAATAAATAAGTAAATATAGTATAAAATATATATAAATTATAAATATAGTAATATTAAAATAGGTATAAAGGTATATAGTTAAATAGAGATGGCCTTTATATAAATAAGGTGGAAAGTTTTTATATTATAATAAATATTTATAGTTTATATAAGAAATAATAAAAAGAATAAATAATATAAGAAAGTAAAACTAAATATTTAAGTATTAAGTATTTAAAAGTTTAAGATAAAGAGTAGACTTTAAGGAATAAACATATAGTAATTTAAAATAGGTAATAAGTATGTAGGGAGAGGTTTAAAATAGAAAATAACTTTTAATCCCTAGGATATTATATACTTAATAATATAAAAGGGGGGGGGGGAGAAGATAGAGTGGGGAGGAGAGGCTAAAAGAAAGAATTATAGTAATATTAAATATAAGGTATAAAGTATTTATTTATATAATTAAGAAAAAAATAATTAAGTAAACTTAAAAGTTAATTTACCCCTATATATATATATTTATACCTATAAGCCGGCTAAGTTTATTTAAGTTTACTTTAAATATAAATAAATTAAATATTATAAATAAGGTATTAAACCATTTTATTATAGCCTTATTATAGCCTATTATTACTTATAGAACTTACTAACCTTTATAAAATATAAGTAGAACTAGGATTTTAATATAACTTTATATTTATTATATAATATTAAGTTTAATTCTTTAATACTACTTATAAGTAATTTAAGAGCTTCTCTTAGTATTATAGCTATAATATTAATATGGCTATACTTTATTATATAATTTTAAACCTATTTATTATTAGTTTAGTGTATGGATAGTTTAGGAATATAGTTGTAAAATACTAACTTCTATTATACTAATAAGCTTAACTTATATTATAATAGACTGCCCGCCTATAGGCGAACTAATAGTTTTACTACCTTTTTAAAAACCCTTTATACTTAACTTATTAATTTAGTGTAGGATTTTATATTGCGCTTTAGCTTAGATATAATAAGTAAGGTCTACCTTATTTACTATACAATGCATTTTAGTAAGGATATTCCTTACTTTGTTATTTTAAACTTTCTTTTTATAAAAGAGCTTTTAATTCCTTAATTAAACTACTTTAAGTTCTATTTTAAGTATAATAATATCTTATTCTAACTACTTTTTAAGGTTTCTTTTTATATATAGCTACTGCTAGATAGTAAGTAACTTAATATTAATTATTTACTTAATATTAAAGGTATACTACTTTAAGAAGTACTTTATAATAGCATTATTTTTAAAAATAAGTTTTATAATTTCATAGCCTATTTAAAAAGTTATTTATTTATAGCCTTTTAGCTAATTACTTATAGTAATATACGTAACATTACTATTAAAGTTATAATTTCTAATATAATTTCTACTAATATTATTAATATTAAGGTAGCTAGTTTTAAGATAGTTACTTTTATAATTAGTGCTTTAAGAGCTATTACCGCTAAGTTAGTTGCTATTAAGTTAATTGCCGCTAAGTTAATTACCGCTAAGTTAGTTAATATTAAATTAGTTACTACTAAATTAGTTGCTACTAAGGTTTCTATAAGTTATATTAAATAGATTAATATTATTTATAGTAAATATAATTTTATTTACTTAGCT